ACTTAAGAAAGACCTCTCTCTCCAATATGGTCCTTAACCAGTCGCAGGAACTGTGATTTGTTGGTAGAAGATACTGCTAGTTTTCGCAAGAAGTCACTACCAAGTTCCTCTACAACTTAAAAAAGAGCTCCATAATTGATTTGGGCAATAGTCGCTGTGGCAGTGACTTCTTCTTGCGATGTCCAGCTGTTTCCTCTAGCAACCTACTCTAAAACGGTGGTTCTCAATCTCCAGGTTGTGGCCCACTGCCAGGCCATGTCCTCCTTCCTGCTGGGGCTCAAGCCCCAGTTTTACACTCTCAGTAGCCCCATCCCCTATATTTCTTAGATTCCTCCATGAAAGCTACAACGGCAACCAGGGTTCCGCTTGATACCTTCTTGCCTCCCTTCCCTCGCAACCTGAACGTCTTTACCCAGAGTCCTCCTCTTGTCTCAACAGCTGCCAACACATTAACGCCTCAACACTGTCATGCCGCTGCGATTTCTCCTTTGAAATGCAGTCTGCTGGATCACAAACCTTGAGCAAGAGGATCGCTCTGGGGGGAGGAGATGGGGGGGGGGAGAAGTGGGATTTATTCCAGAATAAATATAAAGGACACTAATGCTTTGGGGTTGGCGATTTATGGCCTTCCTCCTCCTTCTCAATCACCAGGTTGTAGCCCACTGCCAGGCCATGTCCTCCTTCCTTCTGGGGCTCAAGCCCCAGTTTTTACACACCCAGTAGCCCCATCCCCTATATTTCTTAGATTCCTCCATGAAAGCTACAACGGTAACCAGGGTTCCACTTGATACCTTCTTGCCTCCCTTCCCTTGCAACCAGAACGCCTTTACCCAGAGTCCTCCTCTTGTCTCAACAGCTGCCAACACATTAACTTCTCAACACTGTCATGCCGCCGCGTCTTCTCCTTTGAAATGCAGTCCAATGGATCACAAACCTTGAGCAAGAGGATCGTTCTGGAGGGAGGAGATGGGGTGGAAGAAGTGGGAATTATTTCAGAATAAATATAAAGGACACTAATGCTTCAGTGGGGGGGGGGGGGGTGATTTATGGCCCTCCTCCTGGGGGTGATACAGAATGACCCACTTGGGTAGTGTGGTGGGCCGACATTTCCATCTCTTGGCCTGGTTCTTGGTGTATGGTGGGGGAGAGTATTACACTGGGTGCCAATCTCTTTATAGTCTTTTTACTTTTCTGGCTGAACTCAGTTCTAGGAGATAAGGTTTAGGGGTGTAGGACACAGCAGGCCCTTTAATAGTAACCTTTTGGTAATGGCTGCCCTGTGAGAGCAACCAGGCAGATCTATGACCTGGTAAGAACAGTGGCCTCTTTCTTAAGTTGTAGTTGACGTCTGTCTTCACTATGGTCCTTGACCAGTTGCAGGAACTTTGATATGTTGGCAGTGACTTCTTGAAAAAACTATCAGTATCTTCTACAAAGTTCCTCTACAACTTAAGAAAGACCTCCCTAACTGATTTGGGCAATATTCACTGTGGGCAGTGACTTCTTGCGATGTCCAGCTGTTTCCTCTACCAATCTACTCTAAAATGGTGGTTCTCAATCACCAGGTTGTGGCCCACTGCCAGGCCGTGTCCTCCTTCCTTCTGGGGCTCAAGCCAGCTTCAGATCCCTTATATTGCCACAGTGCCTCCAAGTTCCCATCATGCCACCCAGCCTCCCATAGTGGGCCACAGTGTCCCTCCACTCGCCCCCCCATATTTTCTCCAGGCCCCTTGAGAGCCCTTGGTCCTCGCAGTGCTACCCAACTTTCTACAGTTACTCCCAGGGTGCCCCACAGCTTGCTGCAGAACCTCCAACGCCCAAAGCGGCCCCAACCTCCAACAGGGTCCAACAGTGCGCCACAGCCCCCATTGTACCACTGCCTCCCAGAGAGGCCCCCATCACCCTTCAGAGACACATCTCCCACAGCAGGTGCTCCTAGTTTGCTCCAGAAACCTCATTCCTTACAGGGCCACCAAAGTCCCCTAACCTCCTTCCCTGCCCCATCAGCTGAAATGACACCCAGCCCTAGATAGAGGCTCCCAGAACTTTGGTAAAGGTCTGTTTTTTAGGAATTGGCCATTTCTGACCATTACTGTCAAAAATGCTAATTGTTCGGCTTTATGGCTCTCTGAGTTTCTGACCTGGAACAATTACAGGAACAAGACTCTGTTGACTCGTATTTTACCCATGCATGTTCCAGGTCTATCACTGGCCAAAACAACGAACATTTATTAGGCTTGGTTCACACCTATAGGCGCTACCACGCGAAGGGCAACTCATTGATATAAATGTTCTGCCCTACACGGGGGAAAAAATGAAGTTCCTGACTCTTTTCCCAAAATGTGCTTGCAGATGTGTGGGGGTGTCATTAATAATTAAAAGCACCGCCATGCGTCTGCTAAATGTTAGTACGTTTTCTGCGCACATTCCTGACATGCAAAGGTCCGAACCCGTCCTTCGAAAGAGGCCAGCACCTGCCTCAGAATGGGGTCATTTTCTTTTCTTTTTTTTTGTACTTCTACACAACGCAGCAGCAAGATTTATACGTTGAGGCATCCTCTTACGGCTCAGCTGCATTCACCTTTGCGGCCCGCCGACCAGTCCGGGCCCTTGTCAGAACCCAGCGATCGTCCTCCATTTCCCACCTCGAGAATAAACTACTTTGATTCCCACCGATGCGTCGAGAGTGATAAGGAAAGCTTCTCCGTATCTCCGGCTCACACGTCTCCTTCTCTGTCTGTTCACTTACACGCCAGACGCAATGACAAGGGCCAATGTGCGCGAGGGGAAAATAAATACGTTGAATTACGCTGACGGTTTTTACACTTCCAGTAGCCCCATTCTATTATAATGAGCCACAACAAACAGCGGGGAGCTGTCACAGGAGCGCGGCGGGCGCTGCCAGCAGAGAGGGGGGGGGGGGGGCGGCGAGCGCCAGCCCATAGAAAACATCAAACACTGAGCATTTTCAGAGCTTAATAGGGGCCTCAATTAGTCCCTTCACTACCTCTCACATCACCAGCCTCCAGAGAATGGTAAGTGCTCTTTTTTTTTTTACTCCAATTTTTTTTTTTTCTGTAAGTGGCTAGGATTTATCGAATGTCATACTGAAGCGGCTCGGAATGTCGGAGCCACTCAGCCAGAATTAACCCCTCAAACGCCACGCCGCTCCAACTTGATGCGAGAAGGCGTCGGTGACTAAGTGTCGAAAACGCCAGATTTAACAAACAGCAGATTCGTCACACATGCGCGGCTGCGGCGAGAGAGTTCATTAGGCGAATGTCAGCCGGCGATGATTTTGCCTGGCGAGGCGCCGTGTGGATTTTTTTTTTTATTCCTGAATTCTAAATCAATCTTTTTTGGGAAAAATAAACTTTTTTTTTTTTTTTTCATGTTTGAAGGGTTGACCCGATGCGAGTTTTCTAAGAACAAATTGGACATTGGGCAGCACAGCGGCTAAATAGTTAGAACTTCCACCCAGGGGCGGGCTGACAACTCATGGGGCCCCCGGGCAATAGGGGATCATGGGGCGCCTGTGTCCTTGCCCAAACTCAAAAAAAACCTATGAAAAAGCTACCAGGGGCATCTCATGGGGCCCCCTACTGACCCCCAAGTTTCCAAATGGTCAGTCCGCCCCTGCTTTCTGCCTGGCAGGACTCGGGTCGTTGGTTTGAATCCCAGCCATGGCACCACTGCCTATAGTTTGCATGTTCTCCCTGTGCCTGTGTGGGTTTCTTCCGGGTACTCTGGTTTCCTCCCACACTCCAAAGACATGCTGGTAGGTTAACTGGATCCTGTCTAAAATTGGCCCTAGTATGTGTCTGATTGTACGCTCCTCGGGGGCGGGGACTGATGTGAATGTACAATATACTGTATAAGTAAAGTGCTGCGTAAATTGACCTGAAATAAACAATCAGAGAGATGACTGAGGACCGGAACGTCCCCAATCATCTCTATAGTCTAAGAAACTGGAAGCGAGTATTTTGTCTCTGGTGATGCTGGGAGGTTAATTGGCTCCTGCCTAAATTGGCCCTAGTATGTATGAATATGAATTAGGGATCTTAGATTGTACGCTCCTCGGGGGCGGGGACTGATGTCAATGTACAATATACTGTGTAAGTAAAGTGCTGCGTAAATTGACCTGAAAATAAACAATCAGAGAGATGACTGAGGACCGGAACGTCCCCAATCATCTCTATGGTCTAAGAAACTGGAAGCGATGAGTATTTTGTCTCTGGTGATGCTGGGAGGTTAATTGGCTCCTGTCTAAATTGGCCCTAGTATGTGTATGTATGAATTAGGGATCTTAGATTGTACACTCCTCGGGGGCGGGGACTGATGTGAATGTAAAATATATATGTAAAGCTCTGCGTAAATTAACCTGAAATAAATAAATAATCAGAGAGATGACCGAGGACCAGAACATCCCCAATCATCTCTATGGTCTAAGAAACTGGAAGCGATGAGAATTTTGTCTCTGGTCATGCTGGGAGGTTAATGAGTATATATGAATATGAGTTAGGGACCTTAGATTGAGGGTTAGGGACTGATGGGAATGTACAATATATATGTAAAGCGTGGCATAAATTGACGGCACTATAGAAGTAACTGAAATAAAAATAAATCTTCAGGTCAACTGTAGGTTGGGTGATCACCGAGCCAGTAAAAGGTAATAAAAATCAATGGACCTTCAACACTACATCTTCTCCAGACGGAGCCGAGGAGGGAAGAACCCTTCTAGAAGAATAGATACCTCCTGTCCAAGACCTCATCACTGCCAATAAACCTCCTATGATTGGTCAGTGTGAAATAAATGTTCATAATTTGGAACATTGTATCCAATGCATCACTATTAATATATTGTAGCTTCTTGTTTTATAAACTGAGAAATTTCCTCCGGAGCAGACAGAAGAAAACAATGTCCGAGGCCTCAACTTTTCTAACACAAAGGAACCCTTGAAATAATTTTCTGGTCTCATTATACTTACATTGGTGGTCATTGGGAAGAATGTCCCTTACATTGGGGGTCAGTGGGAAGAATGTCCCTTACATTGGGGGTCAGTGGGAAGAATGTCCCTTACATTGGGGGTCAGTGGGAAGAATGTCCCTTACATTGGTGATCAGTGGGAAGAATGTCCCTTACATTGGGGGTCAGTGGGAAGAATGTCCCTTACATTGGTGGTCAGTGGGAAGAATGTCCCTTACATTGGGGGTCAGTGGGAAGAATGTCCCTTACATTGGGGGTCAGTGGGAAAAATGTCCCTTACATTGGGGGTCAGCGGGAAGAATGTCCCTTACATTGGGGGTCAGCGGGAAGAATGTCCCTTACATTGGTGATCAGTGGGAAGAATGTCCCTTACATTGGGGGTCAGTGGGAAGAATGTCCCTTACATTGGGGGTCAGCGGGAAGAATGTCCCTTACATTGGTGATCAGTGGGAAGAATGTCCCTTACATTGGGGGTCAGTGGGAAGAATGTCCCTTACATTGGGGGTCAGTGGGAAGAATGTCCCTTACATTGGTGATCAGTGGGAAGAATGTCCCTTACATTGGAGGTCAGTGGGAAGAATGTCCCTTACATTGGGGGTCAGTGGGAAGAATGTCCCTTACATTGGGGGTCAGTGGGAAGAATGTCCCTTACATTGGGGGTCAGTGGGAAGAATGTCCCTTACATTGGGAGTTAGTGGGAAGAATGTCCCTTACATTGGTGATCAGTGGGAAGAATGTCCCTTACATTTGGGGGTCAGTGGGAAGAATGTCCCTTACATTGGTGATCAGTGGGAAGAATGCCCCTTACATTGGGGGTCACTGTGAAGAATGTCCCTTAAATTGGGGGTCAGTGGGAAGAATGTCTCTTACATTGGGGGTCAGTGGGAAGAATGTCCCTTACATTGGGGGTCAGTGGGAAGAATGCTCCTTACATTGGGGGTCAGTGGGAAGAATGCCCCTTACATTGGTGGTCAGTGGGAAGAATGTCCCTTACATTGGGGGTCAGTGGGAAGAATGTCCCTTACATTGGGGGTCAGTGGGAAGAATGTCCCCTACATTGGTGATCAGTGGGAAGAATGTCCCTTACATTGGGGGTCAGTGGGAAGAATGTCCCTTACATTGGTGATCAGTCGGAAGAATGTCCCTTACATTGGTGATCAGTGGGAAGAATGTCCCTTACATTGGGGGTCAGTGGGAAGAATGTCCCTTACATTGGAGGTCGGTGGGAAGAATGTCCCTTACATTGGGGGTCAGTGGGAAGAATGTCCCCTACATTGGTGATCAGTGGGAAGAATGTCCCTTACATTGGGGGTCAGTGGGAAGAATGTCCCTCACATTGGTGATCAGTGGGAAGAATGTCCCTTACATTGGGGGTCAGTGGGAAGAATGTCCCTTACATTGGGGGTCAGTGGGAAGAATGTCCCTTACATTGGTGGTCAGTGGAAAGAACGTCCCTTACATTGGTGGTCAGTGGGAAGAATGTCCCTTACATTGGGGGTCATTGGGAAGAACGTCCCTTACATTGGGGGTCAGTGGGAAGAATGCCCCTTACATTGGGGGTCAGTGGGAAGAATGTCCCTTACATTGGAGGTCAGTGGGAAGAATGTCCCTTACATTGGAGGTCAGTGGGAAGAATGTCCCTTACATTGGGGATCAGTGGGAAGAATGTCCCTTACATTGGGGATCAGTGGGAAGAATGCCCCTTACATTGGTGATCAGTGGGAAGAATGTCCCTTACATTGGGGGTCAGTGGGAAGAATGTCCCTTACATTGGTGATCAGTGGGAAGAATGTCCCTTACATTGGTGATCAGTGGGAAGAATGTCCCTTACGTTGGTAGTCAGTAGGAAGAATGTCCCTTACATTGGGGGTCAGTGGGAAGAATGTCCCTTACATTGGGGGTCAGTGGGAAGAATGTCCCTTACATTGGAGGTCAGTGGGAAGAATGTCCCTTACATTGGGGGTCAGTGGGAAGAATGTCCCTTACATTGGTGGTCAGTGGGAAGAATGCCCCTTACATTGGGGGTCAGGGGGAAGAATGTCCCTTACATTGGGGGTCAGTGGGAAGAATGTCCCTTACATTGGTGATCAGTGGGAAGAATGTCCCTTACATTGGGGGTCAGTAGGAAGAATGTCCCTTACATTGGGGGGGGTCAGTAGGAAGAATGTCCCTTACATTGGGGGATCAGTGGGAAGAATGTCCCTTACATTGGGGATCAGTGGGAAGAATGTCCCTTACATTGGGGGTCAGTGGGAAGAATGTCCCTTACATTGGGGATCAGTGGGAAGAATGTCCCTTACATTGGGGATCAGTGGGAAGAATGTCCCTTACATTGGGGGTCAGTGGGAAGAATGTCCCTTACATTGGGGATCAGTGGGAAGAATGTCCCTTACATTGGGGATCAGTGGGAAGAATGTCCCTTACATTGGTGGTCAGTGGGAAGAATGTCCCTTACATTGGGGATCAGTGGGAAGAATGTCCCTTACATTGGGGATCAGTGGGAAGAATGTCCCTTACATTGGGGATCAGTGGGGAAGAATGTCCCTTACATTGGGGATCAGTGGGAAGAATGCTCCTTTCAGATAGTGAAACGAATCACTGATGTCTTTGGTAGTCCATGTGAGAGGACCCCTAGCAACCTCTGGAGCAACCATGGTCAGAAGGGCTGGCTTAGGTAAAATCCAGTGCACGCAGAAACCATAACAGTCAGAGCTCAGACTGAACACAGCCTAGCTACCCGACAAATTTGAAATAGGGATACTCAAGATTACGGCCACAGGCAGGGCTGCTTTTAGAAATCACAGGTCTACAGTCTACCTGTCAGTACATCACCATCTGAATGAAAAGGGCGCTATGGTAGGAGACCCAGGAGAACCCCACTGCTGACACAGAGATATGGGAGGAGACCCAGGAGGACCCCACTGCTGACACAGAGATATGGGAGGAGACCCAGGAGGACCCCACTGCTGACACAGAGATATGGGAGGAGACCCAGGAGGACCCCACTGCTGACACAGAGATATGGGAGGAGACCCAGGAGGACCCCACTGCTGACACAGAAACATAATGGAAGCCAGATTGGAGTTTGCCCAAACTTACCTGAGGAAGCCAAAATCCTTCTGGGAGAATGTGCTGGGGACAGACAAAACAAAATGGCAGCTTTTGGGTAAAGCCCATCATTCTGCTGATTTCAGAAAAAGCAATGAGGCCTTAAAAGAAAAGAATCTAGTCCCTCCAGTCACACATGGTGGGGGAGGGAGGGGGGGTCACTGATGTTTTGGGGTTGCTTTGCTGCTTCAGGCACTGGATGTCTTGGCCGTGTGCATGGAATTATGAAATCTGAAGACTACCAAAGAATTCTGGGGGGCAATGTAGGGCCCGGTGTCAGAAAGTTGGGTCTGCAATGTCAGAGGTCATGGGTCTTCCAGCAGGACAATGACCCAAAGCACACGTCACAAAGCCCCCAGAAATGGTGTCAGACAAAGTGCTGGAGAGGACTGAACTGGCCAGCAATGAGTCCAGATCTCCATCCCATAGAGCTCCTTTGGAGAGATCTCAGACCAGCAGTTGGGGAAAGGAACCTTCCAATCTGAGAGACCCGGAGCAGTTGGAGGAAGAAGAGCGATCCAAAATTCCAGGAGAGAGGTGGAGGAAACTCATTGATGGTTCCAGGAAGACATTGATTTCAGTTATTTTTTCCAGGGGGTGTGCCACCAAATATTACATGGAGGGTGCCAATAATTTTGTCCATTTTTGGGGTTTTGCGTGGAATGTGTCAGATTTGGCTTTTTGTTTCTCAACTTTTTTGTGTCACCGATACAAGCCAAAGATAATAAACATGAGAATGCCGAAACATTCATCATTGCAGCAATTTTTCTGAGCGAAGTGGTGCGTTATCTGACAGAAATATGGGGGGGGGGGGGCAATATATCTGACCACACCTCCCAACTTTTTGAGATGGGAACGAGGGACACACCTATTAGCAAAAGTGTGTAGGCATAGGACAAAAATATTAACTAAACCCACAAGTGCTTTTTTTTACCATTACTATCCCTTTATACCGACTTCTGAAAAGTACAAATCCAACCATCAAGAAACTGGATGGAAGGTTTAGCAAGGATTTAAACACTTTTTGAATGATAAATAGTGCATTTTATATACAACTATAGAGATCAGAGCAAAATGTGGAGAAAAGAGAAACAGTGGGACTCTGTTCGAAATCAGGGACAGTCCCTCGAAATCAGGGACAGTCCCTCGAAATCAGGGACAGTCCCTCGAAATTAGGGACAGTTGGGAGCTATGGCCATGATTGTGTGATATAATTCCCTCCATCCTGAAACAATCCCCGTGTACTTAGCAGCTCTTGGTGGGACAAGAGAGGAGGGAAGCCAGTAGCACTGTGGGGGGGATGAGGGGGCACATGGGGGGGCTCGACAGCAGGTGGAAGAAGGGCACACAGGGGTCCCGGAAAGAAGGGGGGTTGGGGAGCAGACACAAGAACCGATCCCACTGCAGCACAGCCGGAGGGAGAAAGCCGACAATGGGGATCCAAAAGACTAGCAAAGCAGTACAGCCGGCCCTCCTGTTCGGCAGGTGCCTGGGCCCCCTTTTGAACTGATGGAGCCTGGGCCCCGCACAGGAGGGCCAGCCGTACCAACTTATCAGCTGCCCTGATAAGTCTAAATCTAAAAATGTGAAAAAAAATGCTCCTTGTAATGGAAGAAGAAGACTCCACCATCCGGCAGCCGGTGACGTTTTGTTTTTGCAGCCTGGGCAGCAGGGGGCAACGCATAGGGAGGGTGTGATGGGTGCTCCGGGGGGGCAACTGCTGGAACCGATCCCCTGTAGGCTCCCTCTGCAGTAGCTAAAAACCGGTGGGAGAGAAGAAGAATCCTGCAAAAAGAATGATACTCCCCCCTTGTGGCCCGTCTCTTCTACCTTCCCCTCTGTTGCTTCCATTGGAATCCTTCGCATCCAGGGGTGGACTGACCATTTGGAAACTCGGGCCCGGGGTCAGTAGGGGGCCCCATGAGATGCCCCTGGTACCTTTTTCATAGGCTTTTTTGAGTTTGGGCAAGGACACAGGGGCCCATGATCTCCTATTGCCCGGGGGCCCCATGAGTTGTCAGTCCGCCCCTGTTCGCATCAGCACTACCAGAAGTGCCGGATCCCTGTGATCCTATCCACTCCCCCACCTCCCCCAACCAAATGGTTTGACTCCATTCCCTGACCCTCAGGGCTGTGGATAAGGGGTACCACCAGTTCTCCTGTACAGGGCCCAACCAGGGGTGGGTGTACACAAGGGGGGCCCAGGCATCTGGATGAAGCAGGGTGATCGGCACAGCGTGGGGGAGGGGGGCAACTACTGGAACCCATCCCCTGTACGAATCTCTCTGCAGCAGCTGAAAGCCGGCTTCTTCTTCTCTCCGTCCCGCTGGCAGCTGCTGCAGAGAAAGCCATACAGGGGATCGGTTCCAGTAACCCCCCCCCCCACCCCCCCATGCGCGGCCACCCTCCCTGCCCACATATGATTCATCCAGATGCCTGGGCCCCCCTGTGTGAACCCACCCCTGGTTGGGCCCTGTACAGGAGAACTGGTGGCACCCCTTATCCACAGCCCTGAGGGTCAGGGACTGGAGTCAAAGCATTCGATCGGGGGGGGGGGGGGGGGGGCGGAGAGGACCACAGGGATCCGGCACTCCCGGAAGTGTTGAATGCGAAGGATTCCGACGGACGCAATAGAGGGGAAGGTAGAAGAGACGGGCCACCAGGGGGGGGAGTATCATTCTTTTTGCAGGATTCTGTGGATCCGAAGACCTCCAGACAAGATGGCTTTAAATGAAATCACATTTTTTTTCTCTCCACTCCGGGCCGTAGCCTTTCCATCCGCCACATACCGCGCGTGTGCGCAACAGCCTGCCCGCTGAGCCATGACACCGGCTGTGCCGGGCAGCGAGGAGCAGCCGGTGACATTTCAGGCGATGAGATGGCGATTTTATGGCGTGTACAGGTGGAAGAATCATGACCCCGAGCATGAGCGCCCCCCCCCCCCCTCGCTCAGCGTGTCCCCCCCCTTACTCAGCGTGTACCCCCCCCCTCGCTCAGCGTGCCACCCCCCCCGCTCAGCGTGTGCCCCCCCCTCGCTCAGCGTGTCCCCCTCACCACTCAGCATGTGCCCCCCCTCACTCAACGTGTGTCCCCCCCCTGCTCAGCGTGTGTCCTGGCCGCCTGCCATCTAAGACGGCTTGGTTCAATGCATGTCACCACGATACGGGTCCATGACCCCCCCATACACTGCGCTCTTTAGAAGGCCTTCCATCTTTATTGGAAGGATCAGAGGGTTGGGAGATCTTGTGCTCACAGCGGGGGAGGGGGGACGCAGGTCTGCTCAGCTCTACAGGTGGGAACACACAGCCGCGTGCGTGGCGTTTCCTGCTGCTCCTCCAGAATGGCGTGCGCGGCCAGAAATGACGGCCATGGCGGCAAGATCCAGAGATTAGAGCCGCCGGCCTCCAGTATGACATCATTAGTGATGGTAAGGATGGAGGTGGAGGAAGGGAAAGTTCACCCTCATATACGGCCGTTGTGTTCCTGTTAGGACCACTTCTACAAAGTTACAATGTACAGTCTGATCACTGGGGGGGGAGGGGAGACTGAGGAAATTACTCCTCCTCCTTCTACAAAGTTACAATGTACAGTCTGATCGCTGGGGGAGGGGAGACTGAAGAAATGCCTCCTCCTCTTTGTACAAAGTTACAATGTACAGTCTGATCACTGGGGGGGGGAAGGGAGACTGAGGAAATGCCTCCTCCTCCTTCTACAAAGTTACAATGTACAGTCTGATAGCTGGGGGAGGGGAGACTGAAGAAATGCCTCCTCCTCTTTGTACAAAGTTACAATGTACAGTCTGATCACTGGGGGAGGGGAGACTGAGGAAATGCCTCCTCCACCCTCTACAAGTTACAATGTACAGTTTGATCACTGGGGGAGGAGACTGAGGAAATGCCTCCTCCTTCTTCTACAAAGTTACAATGTACAGTGAGATCACTGTGGGAGGGGAGATTGAGGAAATGACTCCTCCTCCTTCTACAAAGTTACAATGTACAGTCTGATCACTGGGGGAGGAGACTGAGGAAATGCCTCCTCCTCCCCCTACAATGTTACAATGTACAGTCTGATCACTGGGGGAGGAGACTGAGGAAATGCCTCCTCCCCCTTCTACAAAGTTACAATGTACAGTATGATCACTGGGGGAGGAGACTGAGGAAATGCCTCCTCCCCCTTCTACAAAGTTACAATGTACAGTCTGATCACTGGGGGAGGAGACTGAGGAAATGCCTCCTCCCCCTTCTACAAAGTTACAATGTACAGTCTGATCACTGGGGGAGGGGACGACTGAAGAAATGCTTCCTCCTTCCTGCAGCAGACATCATCCCAGCCTAGGCAGAGTCACTGAAGCTGAGGGCTGGCCCTGACGCGGTTCGCTGTGTACTGTAACGCGTTCAATATTTATTCATGAAGTGAAGTAGCTGAAAGATCCATTTTTCCGCTCCGCCGTCTGCCAAAAACTGATCTATCATCTCTGACACGGCTGACCCGCCACAAAAACAACAAAACATTCCGCCGCTTCTCTGCGACGATGGCGGTGTTTGCTTAATATGGCTCCTGTGGGGGAGTCAGCTCTCGGAACGCGCCATCTTCCCATGGGAGCCCGCGGGCGCCCGCGCGGGACGCGGATACAAAGAAGAATTCACCGGGGATCCTCGCCAGAACTCCTGGAGGCATATTATGTAGATATTGCACTCGACACCTCCGATTAAAGAGCTGCCCTTCATTTTACAATCTCTCACTTGGAACGCGGATCGCTCGCAGAAATCTCGCCGCGAGGGGGGGGGGCGCGGGAGACCTCGAAAACTTTTCACAGAAATGAAACAGATCAATACAGAGAGATGGGGGGGGGGGTAAAAACGATATTCCTCGCTCGGAGAAGTGGAAGAACAGGAGGTCAGGCTTTGAAACTTTATTCAAGGATGTTCCGGGTAATTTTAGCCGGCGTTGCCGCGCAGAACGCAGCCTTGCCGCGGTTTTCCATCGTTATCCGCCGATGAGAACAAACAAGCCGAGTTTATGTTCCGATGACACGGCGGGGGCCGCGCCAAAAGCACAACTGTGAAACTCTGCGGGGAAAATGTCGCATTCCAAGCGGGGAATCAAAATCATCGAATTACAGCGACATTAAACCCAAAATGTCCGATATCGCAGCTTACCAATCAGCAGCGGCGGCGGCGGTAATAAAGATTTGTTTCGTATTTTACCTCAGTCTTTATGAAGTTGCCCCAAAAGTCTTGTATGATTATTGGGGGTTCTTTTTGATCTCTAGGGGTGCTCTGATAGGAGCCTCTGATGTACTATGAAGGGGCGCCGGATGGAAAGGAGCAACAATGGTGTCCCGGAATTTTATTTTAATACTCCTGATTTACATATTCCTCTCAGGTGGGTTCTCTTTTTTGGAAATGTAAACGCGGCAGTATATACACACTATATTGCCAAACATATTGGCCCCGCCCTCCAACTCATGTGATTCAGGTGTTCCAATCCCCTCCCAATCATGTGATTCAGGTTTTCCAATCCCCTCCATATCATGTGATTCAGGTTTTCCAATCCCCTCCATATCATGTGATTCAGGTGTTCCAATCCCCTCCATATCACGTGATTCAGGTGTTCCAATCCCCTCCATATCATGTGATTCAGGTGTTCCAATCCCCTCCCAATCACGTGATTTAGGTATTACAATCCCCTCCATATCATGTGATTCAGGTGTTCCAATCCCCTCCCAATCATGTGATTCAGGTGTTCCAATCCCCTCCCAATCATGTGATTCAGGTATTCCAATCCCCTCCCAATCATGTGATTCAGGTGTTCCAATCCCCTCCCAATCATGTGATTCAGGTTTTCCAATCCCCTCCATATCATGTGATTCAGGTTTTCCAATCCCCTCCATATCATGTGATTCGGGTGTTCCAATCCCCTCCATATCACGTGATTCAGGTGTTTTAATCCCCTCCATATCATGTGATTCAGGTGTTCCAATCCCCTCCCAATCACGTGATTTAGGTATTACAATCCCCTCCATATCATGTGATTCAGGTGTTCCAATCCCCTCCCAATCATGTGATTCAGGTGTTCCAATCCCCTCCCAATCATGTGATTCAGGTATTCCAATCCCCTCCCAATCATGTGATTCAGGTGTTCCAATCCCCTCCACATCATGTGATTCAGGCGTTCCAATCCCCTCCACATCATGTGATTCAGGTGTTCCAATCCCCTCCAATCATGTGATTCAGGTGTTCCAATCCCCTCCATATCATGTGATTCAGGTGTTCCAATCCCCTCCCAATCATGTGATTCAGGTGTTCCAATCCCGTTCCAATCATGTGATTCAGGTGTTCCAATCCCTTCCCAATCATGTGATTCAGGTGTTCCAATCCCCTCCCAATCATGTGACTCAGGTGTTCCAATCCCCTCCACATCATGTGATTCAGGTGTTCCAATCCCCTCCATGGACACAGGTGTATACAATCACGCCCCTAGGCATGCAGACGGCTTCTACAAACATTGGTGAAAAGAATGGGTCGCTCTCAGGAGCTCAGTGACTCCAAGCGTGGTCCCGTGATAGGTGGCCACCTGGGCAATAAGTCCATCCGTGACATTTCCTGGCTACTAAATATTCCACGCTCAACTGTTAGTGGGATTTATAACCAAGTGGAAGCCACTGGGAACAACAGCCACTCAGCCACCAAGTGGTAGGCCACGTCACATGACAGGGCGGGGTCAGCGCATGCTGAAGCGCACAGTGCGCAGAAGTCGCCAACTGTCTGCAGAGTCAATAGCTAAAGACCTTCAAACTTGGTGTGGCCTTCAGATGAGCCCAACAACAGTGCGTAGAGAGCTCCATGGAATGGGTTTCCATGGCCGAGCAGCTGCATCCAAGCCTTCCATCACCAAGTGCAATGCAAAGCGTCTGATGCCGTGGTGTAAAGCACGCCGCCACTAGACTCTAGAGCAGAGGAGGCGTGTTCTCTGGAGGGACCAATCACACTTCTCTGTCTGGCAATCCAATGGATGTGTCTGGGTTTGGCGGTGGCCAGGAGAACGGTTACTTGCCTGACTGCATTGTGCCAAGTGTAAAGTTTGGTGGAGAGGGGATTATGGTGTGGGGTTGTTTTTCAGGGGTTGGGCTTGGCCCCCTAGTTCCAGTGAAGGGAACTCTTAAGGCAACATTTTGGACAATTTCATGCTCCCAACTTTGTGGGAGGAGTTTGGGGATGGCCCCTTCCTGTTCCAACATGACTGCCCACCAGTGCACAAAGCAAGGTCCATAAAGACATGGAGGAGCCAGTTTGGGGTGGAGGAACTTGACTGTCCTGCACAGAGTCCTGACCTCAACCCCATAGAACACCTTTGGGATGAATTAGGGCGGAGACTGCGAGCCAGGCCTCCTCCCCGACATCAGTGCCTGACCTGACAAATGTGCTTCTGAAAGAATGGTCCAACCTTCCCATAGACACCCTCCTAAACCTTGTGGACGGCCTTCCCAGAAGAGTTGAAGCTGTTATAGCTGCAAAGGGCGGGGCCAACTCAATATTGGACCCTACGGACTAAGACTGGGGGGCCATTAAAGGTCATGTGCATGGAAAGGGCGGGGCCAACTCAATATTGAACCCTACGGACTAAGACTGGGGGGCCATTAAAGGTCATGTGCATTGAAAGAGCGGGCCAACTCAATATTGAACCCTACAGACTAAGACTGGGGGGCCATTAAAGGTCATGTGCGTGGAAAGAGCGGGGCCAACTCAATATTGAACCCTACAGACTAAGACTGGGGGCCATTAAAGGTCATGTGTGTGGAAAGGGCGGGGCCAACTCAATATTGAACTCTAGGAACTAAGACTGGGGGGCCATTAAAGGTCTTGTGCGGAGGAAAGGGTGGGGCCAACTCAATATTGAACCCTAGGGATAAGACTGGGGGGGCCATTAAAGGTCATGTGTGTGGAAAGGCCGGTGGCCTGATACTTGGGGCAATATAGTGTATGTAGGGGGGGGACAATACTTGAGGCAATATAGTGTATGTACAGGGGGGGGACAATACTTGGGGCAATATAGTGTATATACGGGGGGGGGACAATACTTGGGGCAATATAGTGTATGTACGGGGGGGGACAATACTTGGGGCAATACAGTGTATGTACGGGGGGGGGACAATACTTGGGGCAATACAGTGTATGTACGGGGGAGGGGACAATACGTGGGGCAATACAGTGTATGTACGGGGGAGGGGACAATACGTGGGGCAATACAGTGTATGTACGGGGGGGGGGGACAATACGTGGGGCAATACAGTGTATGTACGGGGGAGGGAACAATACGTGGGGCAATATAGTGTATGTACGGGGGGGGGGGACAAATATGTGGGGCAATATAGTGTATGTACGGGGGGGGGACAATATGTGGGGCAATATAGTGTATGTACGGGGGGGGGACAATACTTGGGGCAGTACAGTGTATGTACAGGTGGTTACATTGTGTATATAGATGGATGGATCATTGTATGTTCTTCGCCGTCTGCACACAGCACAGCTCTGACAAGGACACACGTGTGGCGTCGGCGTCTTGAGAACATCTCAGCCTCGTTGTCACTCTCTCTCTCTCTCTCTCTCTCTCTCTCTCTCTCTCTCTCTCTCTCTCTCTCTCTCTCACTCTCTCTCTCTCTCTCTCTCTTTCTCTCTCTCTCACACTCTCTCTCTCACTCTCTCTCTCTCTCTCTCTCTCTCTTTCTCTCTCGCTCTGTTTTTTAATGTTCTTATCTAGGTAAGAAAAGGATTTCTCGCTCTTTGCGATGGCAGCCAAGCCATTAATCCCGCCGTTTGATGTGTTCTAATCACCTGCGCATTCTCTTCCTCTGTAATTGCCCCATGCAGCTGACAAATCTACTCTCCGCAGCTCGGGCGCCGTTAACCCTCCCTGGGCACCAAATGGGCCTTCGGCTCACCGCGCCTCAACCGCAGCAATCCGGCACTCTCTGAGTTAACCACCAGTGACTGACACCTTCTCCACATGCATTAGGAGCGCTTGAAAGTTAAATTTCTTTTTTTTTTTATGTTCTACAGGCAGCGAGATACAATCATCGGGAGTGATAAAACTCGGGATAAAAACCTCCCTTTCCAGGGAAATGTGCCGACGTTGCACTCTCTGGAAGTCCCCTCATATGGAGGAATTATGTTGCTATCATTAGCTGGGTGAGAAGGGGGAGAAAATGTGAAATCTTTACACTTCACGGCTGATTAAATCCTTATAAGGAGTCTAAGGCTTTGATAAGTTGTTTAAAATGTGTTTCCTGCTTTATCGCCGGGTGCCGAAAGCCAAGTTTCCTTTTTCGGAGGAGATGGAGGAACGTGCACCTTGTCCTGATGAGAACCACCAACAAATTCATTTGTAAACCCTGACCAGTTTAGTTGGGGGTGGGGCAGGGAGCCGTTTGGGTTTTTCTTAATTTCCCATCCTAGAGACACGACAAGAAGTCCAGCGGAAATGATGCACTGGGGACACAGAGGGGAATAAAAACCTGAGAGTGGCCCTAACCATCTTCTACTTCATCCAGAAGCATGAGATCCCATGATAAGATTGATAGAGTTGAACAATTCATCTACATAAAAAATAATCTGAATTAAAAAAATACCATTTTGGGTGGGAAATGGAAATCTGCTCTCCTTCCAGCAGCTAGTCACATGACCAACGTCATGCCATTGGTTGCATGATGATCATTGCTGATGGGAAGGATCATAGATAGGGCTCAGGCACAGCCAATGACAGGGTTCAAGTACGATTACATGGCCTCTACTGATAGGAAGGATCATAGATAGGGCTCAGGCACTGATCATATGGTCTCTGCTGATGGGAAGGTTCACCATTATGGCACAGCCAATGCCTGGACTCAGGCACTGATCACGTGATCTCCACTGATGGGAAGGATCATAGATAGGGCTCAGGCGCTGATCGTGTGATCTCCACTGATGGGAAGGATCATAGATAGGGCTCAGGCGCTGATCATGTGATCTCCACTGATGGGAAGGATCATAGATAGGGCTCAGGCACTGATCACATATGGTCTCTGCTGATGGGAAGGTTCACCATTATGGCACAGCCAATGCCTGGACTCAGGCACTGATCACGTGATCTCCACTGATGGGAAGGATCATAGATAGGGCTCAGGCACTGATCATATGGTCTCTGCTGATGGGAAGGTTCACCATTATGGCACAGCCAATGCCTGGACTCAGGCACTGATCACGTGATCTCCACTGATGGGAAGGATCATAGATAGGGCTCAGGCGCTGATCGTGTGATCTCCACTGATGGGAAGGATCATAGATAGGGCTCAGGCGCTGATCATGTGATCTCCACTGATGGGAAGGATCATAGATAGGGCTCAGGCACTGATCATATGGTCTCTGCTGATGGGAAGGTTCATCGTTATGGCACAGCCAATGCCTGGACTCAGGCACTGATCACGTGATCTCCACTGATGGGAAGGATCACTGATAAAGCACAGCCAATGATTGGGCTCAGACACCGATCATCTGATCTCCACTGATGGAAAGGGTCACTGAAAGATCTCAAGCACTGATAATATGGTCTCTGCTGATGGGAAGGTTCACTGTTATGACACAGCCAATGACTGGGCCCTGGCACTGATCACATGATCTCCACTGATAGGAAGGGTCACTGATAACGCACAGCCAATGACTGGGCATAGCCACTGATCACATGGTCTTCCCTTATGGGAAGGATTCCTGATAGGGTTCAGGCACTGATCATATGGTCTCTGCTGATGGGAAGATTCACTATTATGGCACAGCCAATGTCTGGACTCAGGCACTGATCACATGATCTCCACTGATGGGAAGGGTAACTGATAGAGCTCAGGCGCTGATCATATGGTCTGTGCTGATGGAAAGGTTCACCATTATGGCACAGCCAATGACTAGTCCAGGGCACTGATCACATGATCTCCACTGATGGGAAGGGTCACTGATAGAGCTCAGGCGCTGATCATATGGTCTCTGCTGATGGGAAGGTTCACCATTATGGCACAGCCAATGACTAGGCCCGGGCACTGATCCCATGGTTATCCACTCACACAAACATATTCCAATGCTTGTTTTTTTACATTTTTAATTGAAAATTTTATTTTTAAAGAGCACCTGTGGTCAGATCAATGTTGTGGTTTACCCAAAGACAGACCTCCAGGTACCTTCAATTCAGTTCAGGTTTCCTACTGATTGCCCATGAAGCCTCAGTAGACACGTTTCTCCTGTCTTCTATGCCACAAAGCCTGACCTTGCCCCTACTTACCTCCGCCACTCCAACGCTAAGATTGACCGCTTACCAGTGGACGCAGGAGGAAGGGGTGGGAGGTCTGGGTCCAGCTCTGAGCCATGGTAGGTGGCAGGGGCGAAATGACCATGCGAGCACT